ATACACTCATTCCGTCCCAGAGTGGGTGTCTACTTTTCAAAGTAGATGAAATGTAGCTAAATAGGTGGCCCGATCGCAGAGTAGAGTTTTCTGTCAAGAAGTGATTGCAAAATATCCATTTCATTCATCTGCAAGAAATTTCTCAAAGCATTCAGAATCCTAGAATACTTTATGCCGGACAGGACCTATAGAGGGCATTTGGTGCAATCCATTTCAAAGCATTTGTCACAGTGAACCAAACCTGTAGGTCTCTTCCAACTGGAACTATTCTATGCTGTGCAATGCAATAAAATGCAATGCTATTCTAAATTCTACCTTTAGACTCCAGCAGAAGACTCCTGCTTAAGTTAGTCCATAAATATGACCTTTTTTTTTTTTTCTAAAAACAGAGGTCAGAGTAATTAGGTATCCTATAGCTTATGATTAGCAAAAAGAGATGTTAAACCATAAAGCAAACAAGGCAATAAGTTCTGTGTTCATTATTTCCGATGACATCTTTCACCTGAATCACACCATGCTACTCCATAAACGAATCTCAGCAGAATCCGTGGGTCAGATTCAGGAAGGTTCAGATCTGCGTTCAGTCTCTCTGTGCCTCTGGAAACCAGCAATACCCTTTTCCAAGATGCTTTTGCACTTCTGCTACTAATAATTTTTGCTGAAATCCGTTTCCGTCGTTGGAATTCAGCACCAGAGCATTACCACATATCTTTGGATAACATTTCCATGTGTAAACAGTATCTCCGTATACCAGGAGCTCGGAGTTTCATCACATCTGAGGAGCTAGAAACCAGCTGTGGAGTTGTACCAAGTCTGTTAGAGGAGAGGGAAGCCTCTGTTGAGGAAGGATGTGGAGTTCCTGCGATCGTGTCCTACAAAAGCAATGAGGATTTACATGAGGAAAATGGAGCCCGCCACGGATACAACCTACCCACCCAAGTGCTCATTCTGGTCCCCTGTTCTTCATTCTCTGGGGACCTGGGCACACAGTACCACCACATATGACAGGTCCAAGCCAAATTCTTGCATGCTGAGCTCCCATATGTCCCAACGGGAACATCCCGTAGGAGGGGACATACATTAGGTATGACAAAATGAGCAGAGGAAAACTGACTGCATGCAAATGTATGTAAAATAAAAATACCACTATTTCAGTGTTTTCTTCCGTATGTAGTAATGTCGAGGGGCTTTATTAGCAAAAGCTGCTTGAGCAGAGGTTTGAATTTGATCAGGGTTCATTTGATTTCTGCCCCTCACCGCTTCCTGGCTGACTGCTCCGTATCTGCCAGCGTAGGCATTATGTGACGCTCTGCTTGTCCCCAAAGCTGTCAGTCAAGACAGAGCCTGGGCTGGGAAATGGTTAGAGCCGAATAAATATTAGCAGGATAGTCTGGACCGTGACCGCTTCCCTCCTACTCTCGCCTTCAGCCGCCTACACACATGCTGCTGCCGCTGCCTCGGCACAGAGTAACGTTACAGGAGGAGCTGAGGAGCTTCTCCCCCATCTACACACATCTAATAAGACATTGTGCTTTTGATGAGTGACCCTTCCCTGGATGCAGCTTGCGTATGTGCTGGAGTCAGGCGACACTTTCAACAATAAACCTGCTGAATTTCAATTCAGGGAGAATTTACTGGAAAATTTACATAATGTAGCTAGGGGAGACTTTCAACTGCTTCCCCTTGTGCATAAGGGAGAAAAAAAAAGGAGGAAAATTAAGTAACAGCCTAATTGGCTTTTATAACAGTCTATGGGGAGAAATGCAGGCCGGTTCTCTGCCTAGCTACGAAGCCTGGTATGTGCTGTAACCATGGGAGGCAATATTACAGGCATGACAGGACAATGATTTGGTTTTTCAGCACTGAAGATCTGAAAAATGAGATACCTCCAGCTGGGGGGGTTGTTTTCCACTTGACGAAGACCTGTCATGCCAGTTTGGAGGACTGCAGGTCAGGCTTCTGTTGGAGGGAAAAATGGAGGATCTCATCTGCCACTGCACCACCTCAAATGCGGGTCATGGCCACCGGGATGAACGGATCCACCTCTTCCACCACCGCGCTCATTTTAACCAGGGGGTGGCTTGCAATAAATGGGACAACAGAGAGGATGAGGAGACTAAGGCTGATGGCCCTCATGCTTTCTGCTCCCACTACTCCCCGGGGTGTGTGACCCAGGCGCCCGCTCCTCTCCTCCAGAGCCTGAAGAACATGGCACAGCAACGGACCTGTGTTGGCTCACTTCCCCCTGCCTCGAAATTGCTGCGTTTTGGGATAGTACCACTAACAGAGACCTGCAAGGAAGATAGTGACAGTTCATTTTTTATTGAATTTTGTCTTTAAAAAAACACCAGTTAAATCAATGTCAGTTACACTAAAACATGCAAGTTTCAGGACTAAGCGCTTTCTCTCGCCCTCCTTCATTTCCCAGATACAGTTCTTCAGGGAGAACTCCATTGATCGCCTGTCCTCCTCAGCAGCCAACACTGCCTGAGACCAAGGCCAGGAATGGGAGGGAAATGCCTCTCTTCTGTGGTTGAGCTGGAGACAGCGGCAGTGAGCCCTGGGAGCAACACCATCGCCTGCCACCGCTTTCCAGCCCTAAGCCATTTGCCAGAACTGGGGGAGTGTCAAATTGGGTCTCTCCTAACATGTTTCAATTCCCTCCTAAACCATGGCTAAATGACTGATATAAGATGCCATGGGGGTAAGCTAAAAGGGGTTTGGAAAGATCTTTCTCTGATCTTCACTTTCTGAAATGGCTGAAAATGGAAAAATGTTGTCCTTCTGCCTTCAGCATAGATGCTGCCCCCAACCAGCACCGAGAGCGCTGGCGAAGCCCTCTCCTCCATGCCCAGCATCCCTGCTCCCCTACCATCCTGAATCATGGTCCTGAGGACTCACAGGCATCACGTCTCCAGGATTTTTATTGAGGTACTCTGACTTCACTCCACCATGTCTTATTATATAGGACAAAGCCATTAATCAGCTGTGTGCCCCCCCCTCCCCTGCCACAGCAGACATCAAATGCGATCATCTACGAGCCTTGCTGCTATCTGTCTTTCCATGCACGGCTTAGTGGATCCCAGCAGAGGATTTGATTACAGCCGCGGTACCGATCGTATGCTGCGCTGGATGTCCTCGGCTGCCATTGAACTCACCATCTGAGACATGAGGTTGATTCAATAAAAAGGGTATGTATCCACAGGACTGATCGCACAACACTTTTTTTTTTTTCAGCTTTGATTTTAAAATTATGCTAGAAGAATTAGGCTAAAAAGAAAGTAATTTTGCATTATGAGCTTTGTTATCTGACACAATCAAAACAGGTCCTCCCACATCTTTCAGTAATGATGAACTAATTCCAAATCAGAAATGGAGCTATTGGGAAAAAAGCAGACAACAGCATTAAGGCTTAACCTGGCAAACTGACTCATGCTTACATCCACCTTTTAAGCACAGGAGGCCAAACTAAAATACAGGTCCTATTACAGGTATATTTATAGGCCAAGTCAAAGCAGCTGTGACCGCAAATCACACCGCGTAAACAAGTAGCCATTTAAATAGCACATCGCCTTTGCAATGACTTGATCAATTTAACTAAGTGCGATGCCTGTAACATGCATTTAGGAGAGCAGGAGCACTTTAGCATGCGAATACTAGACTTGTTCTCCTTAAAAACAACCTATAACCTGCAAGCAAATGCCTTGACAGGATTTTGTTGCATATTTATGGCTGCAGCGATCTCACTCAGTTTTTAACCTGATCTCTTTGCCTCTGGGTAAGAAGTGATTGAAACCTTTACCTGCAAATGCTGCATCAGTATTTAAGAGGGTCCTTTACTCACGGCTTTTATAAGGTGCAATTGTTTAGGTTGAACGCAGGGATTAGACCTCCCCCGGTCCCGCCCCGCCGA